TAGTTTAGAAGAGTTTTCCAAACACCTCGTGCACATGAGCCCTTACTACGTCACATTTACTAACAAAACCTTTAGTGATCCTGAATATTCAGACATAATCAATACAGTAAGGCTACACAACATACAATATTGATAACATGCATTGCATTTTATAAGCCGTGGAGAACACCTACCACAGCATGACCTTACCATTTTCAATATTGTTATTATACAGGATTTACGTAGCGCCAACAGTTTACGGAGTGTTTTACATTATAAAGGAGAACAGTACAATTACAATACAGTTTGATAGAGAAGGAATAGAAGGGCCCTGACCATGGAGATTACATTCTAAAGCTTGACTGAGATGGAACAAAAAGGTAATAGCTGCAGGGGATGACCTGATGGAGGTGACAATTACAGTTCTTAGGTGGAGGTGGGATAGACTTCCCTGAATAAATGATAATTAAAAGGAAATTTGAAGATTTCAATAATGTTACAATTTTTCTTTAATAAAAGAACCTTATTAAGTAAAACTATTTCTCAGACTGTATAGGAGCAGGAAGAGAGTGAAAATGTGAACGGGCAGAAAACACTATTTATCATGCACCAGCAGCAAAAAGGGCAACAAAAGAAATGGCCATCTGACAGGAAGCAACAAAGACTGAGCACCAGTTGCCAATACCTAATTCTTTCTGTACTCCTTTTAATGTTTGCAATTACAGCCAACTATACATTGGCAAAAGCGTTACCTTCTGCGCCCATCGTGTATAGCAAATAGCTGTGTGCCAAGATAGTACAGCTCCTGGCTTCTACTCAAATGCAGGAAAGACTGTGCTTAACAATTGTTTTCCAAACTACTTCATTAGCACTCAAAGTGATATTAAAATCTGCCTGGACGTGTTATACTGAGGCTGTAGCTTGGTACAGAGCCAGAAATACTATGCAGTCATTATCAGAAACAAGGAAGATGTAAACTTAGAATCTGCCCACGCTGACAACACTATATGGCTTTACCCTACTAGAGGACATCAGGATACGGATTAAAAATAGGTTGGATGGCTTAATGTGATGGAAATAAAAAACATACAAGATAATGACATTTTATAGACAATTGATAACTGCACAAACACTCTGTATTACACTTAAAGTGTTACTAAACTACAACAGTAAAATCAGCCTGTATATGCAGTATAGCATGCTTGTTATACTCACTGTGGAACCTAAGGGATTAATCCTCTGCAATGTGTAAAACAGCTGTTTGATCCTTTCTTCTCTCCTTTTTCAAGCGACCACCTCTCCAGACTGAACCGTAGGCATGCACATGCTCAGTTTGGTGTGTATTGCTAGAGAGGATTTTTTTTTTCTTGGAAGAGTGCATGTGATCAGCACAGGGCCAATTAGCACTGTCCAGTCAGGGGATTTGCATCCTCCTAGACCAGAATGAAAACTCCTCCAAGCGTTAACCAGTGCTTTGCTGGACACAGATAGAAGTCACAAGACTGCTCTAACTGCTGATGAGAAATGGTATTTAGCAGTTTATATTTACTAAAATAATTGCATTTCCATGTTCTATGTACTGTGGAAGATACAGTGAATGCAGGGTTTTGGGTTTAGCAGCACTTTAAACAGAAAAATTCAGTTGTGGGATTATTTCAGTCTACTTTTCTGTCACATATTTTATACATTTTCATAATGCCAAACTATGTGGAGCCTGCAGAGTACTGTACTGTTCACACAATTTAAACTGCCAAACAAGTAAAAGCATTTTGGAAGCTAAGACTTTTCAGTAAACAAAGTAAATGTGCTTAAATCAGGAACTCACTCCATATGTCTTAACCTGAGTTTTGTGTAATCGCATGCAAAATAAGCGCACACACAGACCTGATTCACATGGGCTTCAGCTTGTGTAAGTGTAGTGTGAACAGCAAGCTTTTAAAAATCATGAACAGAGCTTTCAGCAACCTTCGTTGAGCAGGGTCCGGATCTGGAGCAACTAGCAGACAGCACACGTGGAAAGTGAGCGCAGAACGGAGAGAGAGGACTGAGTGGTAGAGGATAAGCAGAGCCAGGGGGCCAGAGCAAGAGAAACTAGCAGATGTCACACGTGGCGAGGAGCTTGGGAGCTCTTAGATTGTAAGCTCCAAGGAGCAGGGACCTCCTAACCCTCTTGTATTGAACTATATTGTTGCTGTATTGTCTCCCTTTATTTCCTAAAAGCGCTGAGCAAACTGTTGGCGCCATATAAATCATTTATAATAATATAGGGGGGGGGGGGGGTGAGCAAGGACTGGGAACAGAAAAAACTGAGTTGCAGGCAACAGCTAAACTGGGGGACCAGGGTGGAAGAAACTAGCATGGTGTGTAGCATGGGAGCAATATAGAGAAACATGAGCCGAGACACGAGAAAGAGGGAGATCAGCAAACCAGAGAATCAGCAGAGCTGAGGGTTAGAGTGGGGATCTGCTGAACAAGGGTACTAAAGATCTTGGCATCTAGTGAGTAGAGCTGGGGGGTAGCTGCTAGCAAGCTTCAGCACTACTTGACGCTTGTAGAATGCCTGCAAGCAGCTTGCTTTAAAGTGGAAATCAGCACTCCCCATTAATGGAGAAGTACAGCCAAAGCTCTTATGGCTGTACTTCTCCTGTGGATCACAGGAGTACAGTTCGTTCTGCACACCTGTGACCCATTTTCAGCTGACAGAGGGCTGAAGCCGGTCTGCTGACGTCACTCAGCTGGTCCAGGCTGGAGAAAGATCTCGACTTCAAAGTCAAGATCCACCCCAGAACGAATCTTGAAATGTGAGCAAAAGAAAGTGAAATAATGGACGTTTTCTGAGAGACAATGGAAGAGAGAGCAAGAAAGCAAGCTAGAAAGAACAGCTCTATGTGCTTGTGTCAGCAGCATAGCCCAGCAACTAGCATTTCTCACGGAGATTGTACTCAAAGGGAAGGATAGCTATGGCAAAATAGGAAAAGAAGGAAATACCCTAATTATAAATGGAGCCATTCCCACTTGTTTTGTGTCTTACTCCGTAAAACCTATTAAACATTCAGCTACAATTGTCACCTTTTTTCAGCTTCACAAAGACAGTATTGAAAAACATTGCATCATGCTACATGCCACAGATAACGCTGTCAGGATACACTGAGCTTTCTCCAAGCAGAGCATTCATCTATCTTCACTGCCCATTTTATAAACATCAGAGGCTCTTGTTTACAAGCACGAGACTCATATGCAAGTTGAAGGCAGCCATGACTAATGGCAGGAATACATGGTAAGGAAATTGACCGATTGGTCATCTGACGACTGATCGGCGTTCATTCGATGGTCGAAATCGTGGCCCACATGAACCAATCGAAAAAAATAATTTGTCGAGCAATACATAGTGTTGACGTATTCCGTACAAGTGGAAGTGTTGCAGTGTGCATGTGACCTTGTAGCCACACCCTGCCGCCCAGAAAGAGCGATTGGACATAAATCCTTGGAATTAATTGGATTAAATTGGATTTATGGATCCTTGGACATTTGGACATAATTGCAATAAATTGGATTTATGGATCCTTGGACATAAACATCCGGGTCATCTTCTGTTTCTGCTCATGCGTGATAGCGCTTGATAATTTTTTTTTTTTGGACGACCGTCATACCACCGCATAGAAAATCGGTCATTTGCATGCGAAATGACAACATTTTTCACTGTTGTTCAACCACATTTTTTCGTTCAGAATATCATCGGTTATAACTAGAGATGAGCGAATCGAACATGGCGAAGTGGAATTCGTTTCGAATATTGGGAAATATTCGATTCGCGCCGAATCCGAAAATTAGCCAACTTCGGATGCACGAATCAAATTTTCCCAAAAATGGCGGCGACATGTGTGGCGACGGAGCGGGGATCTCTGGGAAGGCGCGCAGACAAGGCGCGCTGACCCATAATGCATTCATTCATGACATGTGATCGCATTAGCCAATCAGCAGCCAGCCAGCCAGCACTGTGTAATGGTGGAGCTATAAATTGCGGCCATCTTACAATTCTCCATTAGCCTCCGGTCATTCAAGAGAGACAGACCTGTCTGTATTAGGGACAGAGTTAGGGCCAGAGAGACTTTAGGGCCACAGAATCGTTACTCAGGGACACAGATTCGTTACTCAGGGACACAGAATCGTTACTCAGGGACACAGAATGGTTACTCAGGGACACAGAATCGTTACTGAGGGACACAGAATTGTTACTCAGGGACACAGAATTGTTACTCAGGGACAGACACAGAATCGTTACTCAGGGACACAGAATTGTTACTCAGGGACACAGAATCGTTACTCAGGGACACAGAATCGTTACTCAGGGACACAGAATCGTTACTCAGGGACACAGAATCGTTACTCAGGGACACAGAATCGTTGAATTAAAGAGTATGTCAGACAACATGCAGAGGAGTGGCAGAGGAGGCAATGTTTCAGGAGCGAGCAGACGTGGCAGCAGAGGAAGGGGTCGAGGCAGCACTAGTCGCAGCCAGAGGCCAGTGCTCCCGGTGTCATCCAGTGGTCGTGTCTCCACCGACAACCCTGCCGTCATCGATTGGTTGGCTCGGTCGTCTTCCTCTTCCCAGGTCACCTCTGACACCTACAGCCAACGGTCGGTGGGTACGTCAGACACAACCGTTAGTTGGCATGGCCCGGGAGCAAGCCCACTGAAATCACGTGTCCTCTACCTGCCCCTGTCCTTTGGTGTTCCCTCACCAAGCGAAGTATCGCATGCTGTGGGCTCAGCCCCACTGTACAGTGAGGAAGAGCTAACAGAGGGCGGTCAGGAACAGGGGGAGACATCCGCCTCTTCAGCAGCCAGGCGAAGAAGTACTGGCGAGGAGAGTGGCTCGGTAGCCGGTCTAGAGACAGGTCTGTCTCCTGACCCACACGCAGCAGAGGGGGCTAGTAGTGAGGTGGAGACCCTAATTGATGATGATGAGGCTGATCGCACTTGGCAGCCTCGTCGTCATCTGCCAGGCCCGTAATCTGCCATGGGCCCCCGTACCGACTCCTCATGCTGCTGCCAGGCCCGTAATCTGTCATGGGCCCCTGTACCGCCTCCTCATGCTGCTGCCAGGTCCAGAGTGTGTCATGGGTCCCTGTACGGCCTCCCATTGCTGCTGTCTCCATCGCCACACTCTGCCATGTGCCACTTTCAGGTCTCCTCACACTGCTGGTGGGTTCCATTTTGTCATAGGGTGCTGGCAGATTACGGGCCTCCCATTGCTGCTGCCAGGCCCGTAATCTGTCATGGGCCCCTGTACCGCCTCCTCATGCTGCTGCCAGGTCCAGAGTGTGTCATGGGTCCCTGTACGGCCTCCCATTGCTGCTGTCTCCATCGCCACACTCTGCCATGTGCCACTTTCAGGTCTCCTCACACTGCTGGTGGGTTCCATTTTGTCATAGGGTGCTGTATGGCCTCCCATTGCTGCTGCCTCCACTGCCACACTGTGGCTCCACACTCTGGTTTTGGCCCCGTGACTGCCATTTTGTCAAATGAGTGAAGTGTGCGGTGATTCTAAGATCGACGGCACTCATCTGCATGTCATACTGACTGACAGTATTATTTCTCTTCCCCAGCAGACTCCAAGGGCATTTAAATTAAAGGTACAGTGTTCTGCACTAATATAAAGGCTCTCTGAAGCCTAGAAACACCCTTTTTATAAGTTAAATTTGCAGCGAATATATTCGACTCGAATTTATTCCGCGAATTCGCCGAATCAGCCGAATCGAATTTTTGAATACTTCGCTCATCTCTAGTTATAACATCCTGCTCAACAATGAAGATAAATTTGATTTTCTTACTGCTTAAGAATGGCTTAAGTATGCTTCTATTCAGGTGAACGATTACTTTTGACAAACAAATTCTATTTCAGAGAATCCTTTACAAAATGTGAACACAAAAGACACAAACCTGTGAACACAAACTTTTCCATTACTCACAGATATTGTACAGAAACTGCCCTATATAAGATATACCAAAAGTATACACACCGCACCAGGGGAGGACTGACAACTCATGGGGCCACTGGGCAATAGGGGATCATGGGGCCCGTGTCCTTGCCCAAACTCAAAAAAGCCTATGAAAAAGGTACCAGGGGCATCTCATGGAGCCCCCTACTGACCCTGGGCCCTCGGGCAGCGCCCGAGTTTCCAAATAGTCAGTCCGCCCATGCACTGCACAAAGTTTCATCTATAGAAAGCATATCTCAATTGTACTGCAATCAAACAGTATACTGTAACATTTCAAACACTGGCAAGTTTTGGAAGCATTTACTACAGCCCAACATCATTCCCTCTTTGCTTCTGCTACTCCTCTGTAGTGCAAAGTTCCATCATTACTAATATAAATCGGCAGCACGGTACTGCTTTCCTTCCTTTTCTGGGCCAGCCTTAAGTAGGCTGATCCTTACATAAAACACTGAATCGGAAAAGCCCTGGGACCTTTATATTATAAACGATTTCTGTTTGTATATGAGCAGTGTGTACAGCAAGCTTTGACAAAGCATTTTCGGAGCTTTCAGCATGCCCTGAGAACTTTTCTTGAAGCCTTTAAAACAAGTATGGAGATACTAACACAGATCCTCATGGAAGTGCTAACTTGCCCTTTAAACAAGCTAGGCCCCTTTAACGCGGGTGATCCGCTCAGGTCCACTGGTCAGTTTTTCTTTAGGCAGACCTGATTGGAAAGTCCACAAATTTCTACAGACAGCCAGGTGTAAATGGACTTGTGTTTACACCCACCTACCAGCTTGTCCACCACCCTATAGCAGAAGCAGGGCTGCGCAAAATCACATATATATATATATATATGTATATATATATATATATATATATATATATATATATATATATATATGCATTTCCGGGTAGGGAGAGCACGTGCCACCCTGCCTGTGCTGCCATTGGTGGCTAGGGATGTCAATCACTGGGTCCTGGCCGACAATTCCCTGCTGGCACCCAGTGATCATCGGGCAAAGGGGACAGGGGAGAGACCGGTGTGTAACAACACAGGTTTCTATCCTTTCAGCATGGATATGCAGTGTTGTATCTCTCTGCACAGCAGAGAGGTAAAAAAAAAAAAGCAGCATGTCTGCAAAGTAAAACACACACACAGCACACAATTAACCCTTTGATTGCCCCAGATGTTAACCCCTTCCTGCCCAGTCAGTGTCGTTAGTACAGTGTTCGTACTTTTTATTAGTGCTTTTTATTAGCACTGATCACTGTATTAGTGTCAGTGGCAGTTCCCACCCAGTGTCAGAATGCCCGCCGCAGTCCCACTAAGTCACCGATTGCCGCCATTACTAGTATAAAAAAAAAAAATTCCAGTATATATGCCGCTATTTGTAGATGCTATAACTTTCATGTAAACCAATTAATTTACACGTATTGGGATTTTTTTTTTTGTTAGCAAAGACATGTCGCAGAATACATTTTGGCCTAAATTTATGAAGAAATTTTATTTTCTAAATTTTTTTATTGGATATGTTTTATAGCAAAAAGTCAAAATATTGTTTGATTTTTTTCCCCAAAATTGTTTTTTTTTTTTTTTTTATAATAGCACCAAAAAAAATGCAGAGGTGATCAAAATACCACCAGAGAAAGCTCTATTTGTGGTTAAAAAATTACAGATTTCATTCGGGAGCAGCGTCGCATGACTGCGCAGTTGTCAGTTAAAGTAAACCAGTGCCGTATCGCAAAAAAATGGCCTGGTCAGGAAGGGGGGTAAATCCTCTAGAGGACAAGTGATTAAAAAAAAAAAAAAAAAAAAAAAAAACCACAGAAGGGGATCCGCCTTCTTTCCGTTTAGGTGGATCGGATTGAAGGGTATTCGAGTGTAAACAGGCAGCAGAGTATGTTTATTTATTTCAGGTACTTATATAGCGCCATCAATTTGCACAGCGCTTTACATATATATTGTACATTCACATCAGTCCCTAACCCTCAAGGGGCGTACAATCTAAAGCCCCTAAATATATTTATACATACACATACTAGGGCCAATTTAGACAGGATCCAATTAACCTACCAGCATGTCTTTGGAATGTGTGAGGAAAATGGAGTACCAGGAGGAAACCCACGCAGGCACAGGGAGAACATGTTTATTCCAGGCCGCCCACAGAGCAGAGCACTCTCCATGTCCACTCTGCAAAAACTGAGTGGACATGGATGTGTCCTCTGCCCTCTCTGCTCTGCACAGCAGGGGATCTGTGAGTTTCAGTGGGCTTTCAAGTTTCAAGCAGTGCTGATTTGCAAGTGTAAAGTGACAATCAACACTCATTATGATCTGTGTTAAAAACCCTAAAGCTATAAATACTGTTTTACTAATATTTATTTAACCACTTCAAGTTCTGGACACTTTTACCCCCTTCTTGTCCAGGCCAATTTGTATGTTGATTGGTTTGCATGCAAGTTTTAGCATCTATACTCTATGGTATATATACTGGAATTTGTATTTATTTATTTTATACTAATAATGGCGGTAATCAGTGACTTATAGCGGGGTGGTTGGCAATCTGACACTTTATGAAAAATAACTGCCACTGACATCACCAGTAACATTATTCCAGTGACCAGTGCTAATAACATGCACTGTCACTGTACTAATGACACTGGGAAAGAAAGGGGTTAACACCTAGGGCGATCAAGGGATTAAATATGTGCCTAACAAGTGTGTGTGTGTGTACTGCTTTTACTGGCGATCTAGTTTTCCCTCATTCTGTACTTTCATTCTAGAGCTATGTTCTGTGAAGCCCAGAGCCGATCACTGGGTGCTGACGGTCAAACACTGGCTGGGACCCTTGATTGACATGTGCCTCCTCATTGGCTGACACAGCAGGGGAGCCATTGACTCCTACTGTCAATCACAGCCAGTGAGCCAATTAGGAAAGAGGCGGGGTCAAGTTTGTGTGTGAATGGACACACGGAGTAGCAGCTTGGGAGCCCCCATAGCAGAAACGAGGAGCCAAGAGCACCAGCGGGGGACTCAAGAAGATGAGGATCAGAGCTGCTCTGTGCAAAACCACTGCACAGAGCAGATAAGTATAACATGTTTGTCATGTTAAAAAAAAAAAAAAATCTGCCTTTACAATCACTTTAGGACTTCTGTACTGCAAATTATTTATATATAGACCCCTCGGAGAGTGTTGTATAGCATAGTTGCAAAAACAAAACTCCATGGAGAGAAGCCAAAGTTTAGTCTAATATTTTTAAGGTCAGCGAGATTGTAATGTTTATCTTTGTAAAAACAGCAAGTAAGATGGGTATGACTATATTCAACAAAGATACATTTCTTGGAAATGCCGATATTACAATATCAGATACAAAGATGGCAGTGAGTAATTACTTCAGCTAAAACTGCCTGTTCTTAAGAGAATAATCGGTTTCTGTTCAGGTCATAATATGAGAAGCAGTCTTCATAATTCTAAATTAAAGTACAATTAGGATTCATTAGGTCACAGAATGGACTTTACAATCATTTTTTCTCCTGTTCCATACACAGAAGAAAACATATGTAATGTTTCTGCTCAAAAAGGATCTTAAAAGGGAAACTGTTTCAGGTCACTTTTATTCTAATCTATTTTTTCAACAAAAAAGGGGACCAATATCCTGATTTATACGTTGTGGCAGTTATCTCACACTGCTTTGCTTAGCAAGGCTTATTACCAAAAAAATCTGCAGCATTTCTGAAATATATATTTGCTCATGTTTTATCACGTTAAAGAGTAATTCCACTTTTGTTGAGAAAAAAAAAAATAGGGGTGCACCGAAATGAAAATTCTGATGCTGAAACTGAAAATTCAGGATGCATTTGGGCGAAAATCAAAACCGAAATGGACACGGACACTGGCATTGGGCCGGTGTAGTGATCTGTCATCTGTCCCGTGGACACAGCCAGTGACAAATCGCGCCGGAGGCTTCCTACTTGGCCTTCATTGTACAATAGGGAGGGTGGGAAGAAATTAAAGGGTGTCAGTGTCAGGTGTGCACCCGGCACCCATCCCCTGCGCAGCCTGCACCCATCCCCAGCTGCGCAGCCTGCGCAGCCGGCACCCATCCCCTGCGCAGCCGGCACCCATCCCCTGCGCAGCCTGCGCAGCCGGCACCCATCCCCTGCGCAGCCTGCGCAGCCGGCACCCATCCCCTGCGCAGCCTGCGCAGCCGGCACCCATCCCCTGCGCAGCCTGCCGCAGCCGGCACCCATCCCCTGCGCAGCCTGCGCACCCCGGCACCCATCCCCTGCGCAGCCTGGCACCCATCCCCTGCCCCTGCGCACCCGACACCCATCCCCTGCGCAGCCTGCGCACCGGCACCCATCCCCTGCGCACCCGACACCCATCCCCTGCGCAGCCTGCGCACCCGACACCCATCCCCTGCGCAGCCTGCGCACCCGACACCCATCCCCTGCGCAGCCGACACCCCATCCCCTGCGCAGCCTGCGCAGCCGACACCCATCCCCTGCGCAGCCCTGCGCAGCCGACACCCATCCCCTCGCAGCCCGACACCCATCCCCTGCGCAGCCTGCGCACCCGACACCCATCCCCTGCGCAGCCTGCACCCCGACACCCATCCCCTGCGCAGCCTGCGCACCGACACCCATCCCCTGCGCAGCCGACACCCATCCCCTG